TTGTGCAAGTGTTTTTAGCAAATAAAAAAAAAAAGTACAAGTAGCTGATAAACATACAAGACAAAGCCTTAAACCCGTTCCCCAGCTGGTGTATAAGATGTGAAAGTAATGTGCTTAACAAGTGAAATATCCAATAAACTGTCTGACTTGGGACCTAACATCCAATGGATTCATCTAATGTACGTCATAAGTCCTTTGGAATATTGTTGGAATAATGACAGTTATACGCCTGTGAAATTGAATTTTATGTGACATTTCAATTTAATTTCATAATTAAAAGAACTTGTATTTCCTTAGGAGCCTCATTTGAGTTGAAGACACCAAATTAATATAACTCACAGCGCAAAACACTTGAACAGTTACATTTAAGGTGTGGCATTAAAATGGTAAGACGGGTAAAAATGTCCTAAATTAAAATAGCTAAAGTGGAGTATAAAATGTTCTCGGCACAAAACAACAATTAGACCAAACGGTTACGTTACGTTTTCAACCAATAAAACCAGCAGGTGATGAGTCAAGTGTTACTGTGTTTAATAGAGGTTGGCACACAACGATGTGTTGCATGTTTAGATTTGAATTGTAATGATTGGTTTCTGCAGACAAGTGGATATTCATCAGATTCTGTCTGGAGTCTGATTTTGTCTGATTGGACTATTGTAATATAATTTGCACTGGTCAGTGGTTTCAGGTCCAGCTCAATACATTTGTTTTTTGTGACTTTAGTGGGAGGACTGTGTTGGATTTTGTCCTGAAGCATGCAATAAAAGTCAGGTCCTCTGGATGGATTATTCTTTGTTAAAACATTTTGTCTTTTATCAAAAGGACTTATTTTCAATTTCAATTCAGTTTATTTATATAGCTCCAAGTCACAACATGTCACTGCACAGAAACATTCATATGCATAAAAAGTCAATTAATAGGATAATTTATCTGAGGAGCAGACTGCGTTGAGTCTAAGGAGATGCAACAAAGAAGTCTTTTAGGTAAAAGACAACATTTTTCAACAAAATAATCTGTGCAGAGGACCTGACTCAATATGTGTTGGATTTTATTCAGAGCTCCAAACTAAGCTATCATGTTAAATGGATGCATTCATAAAAGCATTTATTAAAGATATGAGTTGACTGGTGAACTTGGAGGTTACAGAGTTCTTTTTAAAAAGCACAGTTCTTGGCATTTTGCAAGGATTGGTTCCCTTTTGTGCTTTAAAGTTTGTCTATTATTCAAGGTGGTGCCAAGAAATGGGAACTAGTTATATATTTTGAGAAAAGTTAAAGTTAAAGTTAAAGGCACGGTTGTCAGTGTAAGACACACGCCCGTTTCAGTCACTGAGTTTGAGTCTTTTTATGCCTGAATGACTCATTTTCATACTTCAAAATATGACGAAGTAGACAGATAAGGATAAGCAAGTTCTTTATGTACGCATAACAAATATCAGAAACATTCTTGGTAAAAAGGGAAATATCAAAGAGAAAAGGACATTGCTTGTTGTTTAAGGGAAGCTCATCTCTCAAACATGGTGGAGGCGCTGGTATTTATTGATGCTGTCACAGGTGATGAAACAAGATTTATGAAAGCAGAGGTTCAGTCAGATGCATGAAAATTATTTAAATCCAACGACCAGGATGAGAACCTTGACCATAAACACCAAAGTGATTCTGATGTGCGTGCTATCGTTCGTAAAATGCTTTCTGCTACTTCTGTGACATCACTGTAGATAAAAACACAGCAAAATGTATGCGGTGAAGCATATGGTGATCATCAGGGTGTCAAAAGAATCAAATCAGCTGAAGTTATATTTATTCTAATGTCTGTTACACGCTTTCAAATTAATTCTGTTGTGCCACAGTGAATAAGAATGTCTCACTTTATCATAATCACATTCTGCAATATAAATGTAAAATGGGTCAGCTGATTGATCAGCAGTTTGAAAAGAAAATACATTTCAGTTTCCCACTGTGGGGGATTTTAATTTTCATGCACGATGACTAAAAATCTATTTTGCACTCATGATTGCAAACAAGGCAGGAGTATGGAGCCTCCACATCACAACCCTGGGCTGTGGGGAGTGTTTTGAAATTTGACTTTATTTCTATTTTTTGTTGGAGTCAGTCCCGTTTGTCTCGTTTCGATACGGTTCAGCATGGTTCAGTGTTCTGAGTTTGGTTCCTTTGTCCTCTGTCTCCATAAGCTCCGCTGGTTTCTGAACACCTAACCGTTGGATCTTATCTTCCCAAATAGATCACCTGGCTCTTGTTCCAATGTTCATGCCTCACTGATCTTATAGTTCTTGTTTTCTGAAGATGCCAGCACGTTTTGTTCCTCATTTGGTTACCCAACCTGTTCTCCTGCTCCATGGTTTATACAAGTTTGGTTTGTTTGATTTCAGGTTTGTCTTGGCTTAGTTCTAGTCTTTTGAATTTTTTTAATCTTGTCTATTTTTTGGGTCCTCACACTTTACTCAAAACAAACTAAATCCATCCATCCATCCATCCATCCATCCATTTTCTTCTGCTTATCCGGGGTCTGGTTGCAGACCAGGTTAGCAGCCTAAGTAGAGAGGCCCAGACTTCCCTCTCCCCAGCCACTTAGGTCAGCTCCTCCAGGGGAATCCCAAGGTGTTCCCAGGCCAGCCAAGAAACATAGTCCCTCCAGCATGTCCTGGGTCTTTCTCTGGGTCTCATCCCATTGTAATGTGTCCGGAACACCTCACCAGGGAGGCGTCCAAGAGGCATCCTAACTAGGTGCCCGAGCCACCTCAACTGGCTCCTCTCAACATGGAGAAGCAGCGGCTCTACTCTGAGTCCCTCCCGTATGACCGAACTTCCCACCCTATCTCTAAGGGAGAGCCCAGACACCCTGAGGAGAAAACTCATTTCGGCTGCTTGTTTCTGTGATCTCATTCTTTCGGTCACAACCCAAAGCTTATGACCATAGATGAGGGTAGATCGACTGGTAAACCGAGAGCTTCGCCTTTTGACTCAGCTCTCTCTTCACCACAACAGACCGGTACAGCACCCGCCTCACTGCAGACGCCACACCTATCCACCTATCAATCTCTCGCTCCATTTTCCTCCCATTCGTGAACAAGACCTCTTTAACTTGGATGTATCAAGTTCAAACAACAAGTAGTAATTAATTAAACAACTGGTATAACTTAACTATGTGAGTTCTTACAGCATATAATTATAAGTTATGATCCATAAACACTTGATAACATGTTTAATAAATGTATTATGCACTACATTCTGTTTTACCATAATGCTAACTAATTTGATGGGGGATGTAAAAATGTTGGCATTTAAAAAGTGGTTTTCCAGAAACTGCAGCAGAAATCCTGCAGCACACCTTCAACATGGACTTTTTAAATTGAGGATTTTTCCCCATAAGAAAGATCTAACTTTCAGCAGTTCGTGTTTTAAACAGACTTTCCACAACTTGGATTGGTGTCGTGCTCTGAACACAGTGAGAGGTAGGGAGACAGTGGAAATGTTGGTGTATGGGCCGCATCTTTAACCAACCGGAGTTGGCATTCCCATGCAGGAGAGACAAAGGCAGGGGGGCGGGGGGAGGCGCGTGGGGTGAGTAAAGCGCGGAGAAGCGAAGTGAGACACAGCTCATTTCAGTGGGATCGTTGAGCTGCGGAGCTCCTCGGATTTTACAGCCAGACCCAAAAAAAAAAAAGAAAAAAGAAAAAAAAATAATAATAAATCAGTAAAACAACCCGCCTCTGCGTTTGGTGCGTAAAGCGCTCCACCCGGACCGCCGTGCGCTCTGCGTCTGGCTGAGGCTCACCTGGTGCTCTGAAGACCCCGCAAACACCAAAACCAACAAAACAAAACAATACAACTTTTTCCACCGTGGTTTCCAAAAAAGGTAAGAGGCTGATGAGCTTTGGTTGAATTTCTTTTTTCTTTCCTCTTTTTTTTTTTTTAAGGTGCAAAAGGTTCTGAGCTGAGAAACGCACTGGTTGTTGTTTGGTGTTAAAAAAATTATACTTACCTCAAATGAATGATTAAATTGGGAAATCATGCATGTACACGTGGCTGTCATGACTGAAATGTAGAAGTTAGACATTTGTACATTTTCTAATAAATAAATGTCAGACACACCTACAAAGAAATGTTCCGACAGAGCTTTGCAGTCCATCGCTTTAAGGAATAATGCAAAAAGCTGCACTATTATTGCTTTTTTTTTTAAATCCAAACAAAGATGCAAATGATTTATTTATTTATAATAATTTACAATTTCTGTAACGTCACAAGAAGAAGTGAGACATGTGTCCGGGCTGCAGCAGTTGGCCAAGAAGAGTTACAACCGTTGCGACATCACCGGGAAGACAAACCTGGTCTTTGGTTCGGGTTCTGGCATCTGCGGGACGCGTCCATGATCTGAAACCAAAGATCAGACTCTCATGTCAGCTAGATGAAGTGTGGATCTATTGATGTTGTGCACTTCATAAGAATCAGTGTGATAGGAAAAGAAGTTAAGGCTTGATACTGGCTTGCTCTGATAATATATATTTTTTTATTTGATGAAAATGTTGCACATATTTCATTAAATTTAGATCTGCACCTTTCTACTAATTTAACCAACTGTTCCTGGACATGTTTTATATTTACATTTGCAAATTAAAAATTGCGCGTATAGCGGAGCTCCCTGGATTTCCCTTTTTATGATTCACAAAAAACAGGAAACATTTCATTTTTCAAAACGTGGGAAACACGAATGCTTTCCCTCATACCTTAGTAACGCCACCCACCTCTTGAGCCAATAGCTGCAGCCTTCATATTAAAACGCACGCACGCGCAAAATAACACACGCTCACAGAAACGCGCAGTTTTTCAAACGCACCATCAATGTCACCATGGAAACCAAGTCTCTTGGCACCTTCAGCTGACTGCCTCCAGCATGACTCCTGGCTTGTCGTGTGAGCGCTTGTGGATGCTTCTGTGAACCTGGAGAGGAGAGATGTTTCTCCTGGAGTTTAATGCGAATTGATGAGTTCCAGCTGGTTTCTGACACTGGTGGTCCAGCTAGAGGGGCTCCCAGCACCATGTGCACTGTGTCACTAGTCACAGGCGATCCTTGGCCTGGGGTGTGAATGCTGGGAGAGTCGGTGAAATAAGTGTCCATGCAGATAATGCGTGTTTGTGTTCCTCCCTGAGGCTGCGATCCAAACAGCTTTCTGCTCTGCATTTTCTGTCTGACATGAATGAACAGGACAGACATCCAAGGCGAGCTCTGACTTGCCGAAGACCAGAATGTATCATTTGATGCATGCATGTTCTGAATCTGGAGTAGATGTGTTAAAAAAAAAAAAAAAAAGCAATATATGTTCATTACCTACATAACTGCATTGGCCCATTAACATTTAAATGGTAAGTTATTTGATTAAGAATCTTAATGGACAAATGCACATTTTCATTATTCATTTATAACCAGTATCAATGTTGTTAATATTGAATAGGAGCTAAAAAACCAGTTACATCTTGTTTGTACAGTTTGTTCTCGATAGTTTTATTTTTTGTCACTAAGTGGAAAAAAAAAATCCACTGCCTACACACACTGATGGAGAAACACAACACTGCGTAAACAAACTGTATTTTATTTATTTTTAAAATGTGAAATTAAAGCTTGTCTTTGTAATAATTACAGCAAAAGTGCTGGATGGAACTAAGTTTAGCCCGTGGTCATGGGAGGCTTCTTAACACGAGTACAATCAAAGAACATGCACATAATACACACCCATGGGCATCATCCAAGACTAACACACACTCTCAGAAAAAGGCATGACCCCCCCCCCCCCTGAGCAACATTGCTGATATCACACGCAAGTCAAAAGTCACGTATCTTCTTCCAGTCATGTTATAGATTTTCAAATATGTAACTTTCATTGCTGTGACAATAAGCAGGGAAGACATTTACGACCCCCCCCCCCCCCCCCCCCCCCCCCC